AATCTGACTTAACCTTGGATCTACTTGAGTCAGATTGACATAGGTGTGAGAAGGGTGGTTTCCAGTAGCAGCCAGAAAGATATCTGAATGTTTGCATGTAGCCTATGTCCTGCTAAAATTTTATTTTGTTTGTGTTTTAGATAAATCTGACTTTTCAAATTGTGTATTAATTTTGCAACAGAATTGCAAACAACATCCCATCTCATTAAGGACTTGTCTCAATCTGCTCTGGCAGCTTCTGTGTGGTAGACCAATCATAACTTAAAGCAGTCTTCCACATATGCATGTCCTTCAGGTATGTTAGCTTGCCTTATCCACAACCAGCCAGCATGGTCAACACAAGCTAGTGATTATAGACAGCTGAACCCCAACCTATCTGGAAGGCATCCACTTGAGTAAGGCAGACAGTACCTATTCTCAGATTCCAACTGTCTAGAGCAGTGTTGTCCAAACTTGGCCACTTTAAGATGTGTGGACTTCAACTCACAGAATTCCCCAGCCAGAATTCTGGGAGTTGAAGTCCACACATGTTAAAGTGGCCAAGTTTGAAAAACAAAGCTCTAGAGAAACGAAAAATACCTTGATTTACGAGGTAAATTATTTCCATGCTTTGCTAACTAGCAAAGGAAAATATATTCTAATCTTTCTGAAGTATCCTTCATATCCTCTTGGGAAGCTGAAAGCTGCACAAAAGTTCAAGAGAGAGAGAGAGATGTGGTATTATTTTATTAACTGATTACTTTTGCACCACATGTATATGAAATTTTATACTTCCAAATCAAATGGACATTTTCCAAAAGAAAAAGTGCTATAGTCCACATTACTTTGGATCTGTTCCATTATTGTGCCTTCCTGTACTGGTGTCACTGACCAAATCAATTTAGCTTTGTTACTGAAACTGCCATTCTCATTCAATTTTTTTTTTAAAATTTATTGTTTAGTTTAGCATAAACCATGGCTTATAATGTAGCATTACGTGTGAACCCAGCCACTGCAGCTTATTCAACAAAACATAGTTAATACAAGCCATAGCTTAGCACTATGCATGAACTGGGCCACTGGATTTAAGTTTTAAAACAATTCATCTAGGGGAAGAAGATCAAGGTGCTCCTTCTACAAGGTGATTGCATTATTAATATGTTTATGTTATTTACTTGTAAAACATCAATAAAAGTTAGCATCTTGTGGGAAGATAATCCCAATAATTGTAACAGTATTGTAAATCCCAACCACTGTATTTATAAAATGATATAACCGAGGGGGGACAACACTGTTCTTTTTAAGCTAAATTGGCATGTGATTCCCAGATAGGGATCACAGTTTACTCTGTGCAGTCATGGAAGGCTTGTGAATATGTTACCAAGCATGTAGCACTGGACCTTGGAGCCAAGGTCCAGGGACTGACAACCCAGTCTCCTCAATTACTATGCAGAAAGGACCGAGAAACTGATGCAGCAGCCAACAGACCTACCAGCACCATTTCTGCTGGCCCTCAGGAAGATTTAGCTTCTCCTGCATTTCTGAGGAAGGACAGAAAAAAGGTGACTCCTGATGGAGTGTAATCTATAACTTGGAACTACAGAAGAACAAAGCCTCCTCCTTTATGCCCAAATGCCCCAAGTAGTACAGGGATTTTTATGAACACCTTTAACATACTAGGGACATACACAAAGCCCCTTAAAGTCTCAATAGCACCACCAGATTATTAAGAGGGATCTAGGACTGTACTGCTGACCATTTTTGAATGATGCCATCTTTTTGCTTTAGAAAACCTCTTATATTCACCTCAAGGAACTATGAGGATTCTACAGTTTTTGAACTTCCCAGATCAGTATTTATCAGCTGTATTGGGTCTGCAGGAAGAGTACATCCCAAAGAAATAGCTTGCAGACCTAAAACAGTAGTATCTGTACCTAGTCAGAGCACTTACATGCACTTCTACCCAGTTCATCTTTGCCAGAGAAGGATTTTATACATTTTTAAAAGCTCACCATCCTACCACAATACTGAAACCAATAAATGGCAAATACTGTCTGCAGATCAGTAACTTTTACAGCTTGCACACACATGTACCCACTTTTATGAGATGCCAATAGTCTGATCTGCTGAGAACTGGACAAAACTGACTTAATTTCCACGGTGGAAAGCTACTTGTACATCACCATCAGTCCAGCCTAATCTGCAAGGACAGTAAGAATGTTATCAGAGGATGACACTTGAAAGGAGAGAGAACCGGCTGGAATATCAAAGACAGGGAGACACTGTGAGCATAAGCAGTCGGAGGTGGGTGGAACAGGCTAGCTGAGTCCAGCTAAGACCAGTATTATGACAGATGTTTCCAGTTGTGTATCAAAGACCTTGGGGAAAGAATGTGCAGCTGAAGATACAAATTTGGTCAGTCAGTCAACACAACAAAAGAAAGAAGGGGTAAGACTGACCTAGTTAAATGAGGGGCATGAGTAAATGCTGGGATATAAACAAAACAAAACAACAACAAAACAACAAAACCCAGCCCTGAGACAGCAAAGAGAAAAGGAGAGAAAAATCAAAGCATCCTCTGTGCAAGTCAAGAATTCAGGAGTTGGGTCTGCTCAAACGTCAGATATATTCTCTGGCAAGGGTCAGGTTTAATGAATAAATGAATATAAGTTTTGCTGGAATAATTGAGGTTAATTAAAGAAGCTAAGAGTACCAGTACATGGGATTTCGCCCTCCTCCTTTTTTCTCCAAGAGCAGGTTCCCAGAAAGCACCTGCATAAAATATGGTGGGTGATGCCATCCTGCCTGCAAAAACAGTGTAAAGAGGAAGAAGGTACACATGCAAGGAGGAGGAGGAAACTAAAGAAACATGACAAGTATCATCTGGAATGTTCCAGATGTGTTGGGCTGCAACATGGAGATGCTGCTAGAGCTAATCTTACTTATATTCAGGTGCTATGCCTTCCCATATCAGGACTGAAATGGTAGCTTAGTGGTAAAGAAAGTGCTCTACATGCAAAAGCCTGCAAGATCATCTACTGGTAATGCTGGAGAATATGCCTGGAGAACACTTTTTTTGAGAGTTGCTGCCAGAGAATCAATCAGGGGAGTACAAACTTCAGTCTCTTCAAAGACGTGCTGGGAATCACACTCTTAAAAGTAGGTGATAGGACAGGACAAAAAAAAAAAAAGATTATCAAGGTTTGATTTAAAAAAAAAAAAATTATTTAGACTGGGGGAACTCAGTTCTTTCTATTATGAACAGTGCCTGTCTGCTACTGAAGGCAGCACTCCTGGATCAAAATTCACTCCATCTCTATAACCTAAGATTGGCTAATCAAGCCATGGACAGTTCGTTAGTTACATTTGCTTGCCGCGTGGAGCCAACAGGTACAAACAGATACCGTTGTTGCCAGTCATAGGCTTTC